CTTTACTATACCACAAGTTTCCACCATGATAAAAAAACGTACAGAAATAAATGATGTAGATGGCACAAATTATGACATAAAGATTGTAGCAGGGCCATTTGGTAAGTGATATATACTAAAATGTATAGATTATTAGTTCATAATCTCAAGTTTATTTTTCAAATTTTTTTTAGAAAGAGAAAGTCAAGCAAAAAAAGTGGCAAAAGCTTGGTCAGAACCAGACTCTTCTGAGAGTAGTTTTGAAAATGAATCGCCAGTACAGCCAGTAACTAAAAAACGAAAAGAAACTGCAAAATGTTCACGCAAACTTGAAAACGATTTTTTGAAGTTGCCTGTACCACCAACATTGCCATTATGTAATATAATATGTTGTGTTATTGTTATGTTCTAACAGCATGTTAATCGTTTAAAAATATTGTCTCAATAAAATACAAATATTTCCCAATTTTATATAGCTGCAAGAGGAACTACTGTGGGTGGGAGTCCTCTAATGTCATCTGATTTAATTTCAGTGTCACATGATGGCTCAAGTCCTATCTCTGAAAGTAATTGTAAGTGTAATAATTACACATACATATTGGCTACTATTATGTTAATAAAATAAAATATTTTTACCTACTTACTTATTTATACATATATATTTTCATTAAATAATAAATTTAAAAATTATTAATTATTCATTTTAATCAATATTGTACTTAGGCCCTATAAGTAATTGTTCATACCATGAAAGTGCTGTATCATGTAGTGGTCCAATTTCAAGCAGCATACTCGTCGAAAATTTAAATAACAGTAAGTTTCAACTGTAATTTAATTTGCAATGTACAACTGCATTTAAATATATGTTTAATATTATTTGAGTCTTACTAACATTTAATGTATTTCCTAATATTATATTGTAGCAAAAACATCAAGTACTAAATTGGGACCTCTTCTATGTGAAACAATCACTCATGAATCATATTCTAAATCTGAAAGTTCTCCTAGATTAATGATTAAAAAGAGTAAGTCTTAATATAATAATTACATAAAATAAATTATTAATACTTTATTATAAAATTTTTTTTACATATTATAAATATAAATATATAAATTTTTAATCTTCATCAATATTTTATTTATGTCCTATATTATTTACTTTTTCAGAACAAGAAAGTGCTGTATCACATAGTAATCTGACTTCAAGTAGCACACCCATCGACAATTTAAAAAGAAGTAATTTAAAACTGTAGAATGCTTTACAAATGTACTTTGTACAACTGCATGTTAATGTACATTTGTTATTATTTAAATAAAGTGTTTTACTTAACTTTTAATATTTCCTAAAATGTTCTATTATAGCAACAACATCAAATACTGAGTTGGAACTTCTTCTGTCTGATAGAATCAATGAATCAAATCCTAACTCTGGAGGTACCTCTAATGTGATTCATAATGGTGTGATAAATAATATGTTTTATTATTAAATACTACTTCAATACTTATAGTTAACATAATTTTATGTTGCAGACATTTTTAATAACATAAATATTATAATATTTTATGTAGTACAAAAATTGGTATTCAATAACACAAAACATTAAATTTCACTATTTATTTCTATAAATACTCTTAATATTTTTTTTTATGTGACAAGTTTTCTCAATTTTAATATTAATAATTAAAAGTTGTTAACTTAAAATTCTGCTAACAGTATCTTTTTTTTGTAAAAAGAACAAATATAAATCTTATTAATGTGTATATATAATTTATGTAGGTCCTAGTGGTCCTAATACAGATATTAGACCATTTTTTGAAGCGAAATCAAATGCGGTGTATGACATGACCAACATGTCCGAAGATTGTTTGAAGACAAGTAAGTTTTTTCCATTAGTGATTACAATAATATGTATATTTTTTTAATCTATGAAAAGTAATAACATAATATTTTTCAGGTACTACAGATGATGATGTTGGTAATCTTGTGACTGGTTCATTGATGTTGCTAGATGGTTCAACTAGTTTTCAAGAAATTAATTATACAGATAGTAATGTGTATGATAATTTTGATTCTACTCTTATTAATAACGAAGGTAAGAAATGATATTATTGTTCTTAGCAAAATATTTCTTATGATAACATATTGTTAATTACTTATATAGAAACAAACAATACAAATACTACTGATTCCGGTTTGATGGATTTGTCAAATTTCATTAGCAAAAATGGTTTGTAAAATATTTTGATATTTTAAAATTAAAAATGTATATTTTATTTGAGATGCTGCGTGTTTTAGAAAATTGCTGTTGCCAAAACCTTTTACAAATCAAATCAATATTAGCTACTAATGAAAAAACATCTAAGGCAGTTCATAAACAAATTATGATACAGTTACATATGCTAAACAACTCTAACGTTAAGATAGTTAATGCTATGAAAAACATGGACCAAAAGCTTCAAGTCATAATGAAAGCAGATTCTAGGATGAGGTCATTAGCTCTGCCTATACCTGTATTACCAACAGCCTTGATAACTTTATTACCTGCAAAATGTATTGAAGAGGTAGACGTAGTTGAGTCCATTCTTTCGGATGATATTGATGGCTTAAATAACCAGGAAGAATTGGTGAGCATTAATGCCGTTAACTATTAATATTATTTGTGTATAGGTAACTAATATTTTACAATAATTATATTTTTTTTAAGTAAGAAACATGTAATAATAAATTAGCTAATATATTATATTGTTTATGTACTTACTATAACATTAGATTAGAAAGATGTATATATACATAGTCTATACTATAGTTTTAATTTTCCAATTTACAGAAATCTTACCTTTATATGAAGATTGGAAGTATGGATTCTATAAGCTCAGCTACACGAGCAGCAATAAATGAATGTTTTAAGTATAATGTATTGGCTTTCTTCAGCTTCAGAGGAAAAACTAAGCGAAGTTTTTCAAAATTAAAATTGTGTACTGTTATTTATGGTGAATATTTATGGAAATAAAAAATAAAATCAATCTTATGAGTAATTTATCTTAAATTTATTTGTTATAGAATCTCTGTCTAGTTTCCGTACTCATTTCAAAGATGAAGAAAAATTCAATCGAACCGTAGATAACTACATAAAACATTCTAAACAAAATAATGAAGATCAAAATAATGAATAAATACATTTTTCCTATAAATTTGTACTTAGATTTTTACAGTTATTATCATTAATAAAATTTTATCTTTAGCCAAAGACAATTATTGTAGTGATTGATGTTATCTCAAGCTATTACCCTCATGGTTAGGTTAATATACTAGTACATATTATGGTATTTTTTACAAATCTAATAAGTACATACACCGAACAAAAATACAAAATTTATATACATTTATCATTTACTTTATTTTAACTTCTATTTTTATTAAATTATAAATTTAATTTGAATATTTTATTTTTTAATACATTTTATGTTAGACTCTAACATAAAAATATTAAAAGGTAATGCGAAAACAGGAAATGATTTTTCAACAGGTTTATCTATCTATTCCACAGTATTGTATTTTCGTATATAAATAGAATAATTTTAAGATAATTTATGATTTTGGGAGAGATCGGAGTTAATTGTTAAATAATCTAAACATTCAACAGTTATAACACGGTCGGGGACACTGAATAAAAACAGTTATAAAACTGAACATTGAACCATCATTACACAGTGTTGACACTGTCCAAACACAGAGTTGACACTGTCCAAATACGGTTTTAAAAATTGATATTTCACGGTTATAAAACCGATATGAACACAGTAATAGCACTCTGTGCTACCCATGTAAAAAATCGGTATTCAAAATCGAAAAAACACTGTGCTTAGAACAGGATTTTAACGGTGTTTTGCACTTTAAATTACTAATGTTTAAAACGGTGTGGGCACAGAAAATGCTACTCGGGTCATTACATTAAATTATAGAGACCTGTTGACTTCAAAAAAAGGATCATCTAACCATACTTACACTTATTTTTTAATAATGCTACTCCACATTATTTCTATTTTATTACATAAAAACAAAACAAAATATTTTTTTAAACAAAATAATGAAAAATTAGAAATAAAAATAATTATTGAATCGCCAATCTAAATATAATATATTAGTACATTTTTTTTTTTCGTTTGAACCGACGGCGCCGCGGGAACTGCTTTCGCATTACTGCCGCGACTATATATTAGTACATTACATCATATTATAATTACTATTTAAGAATATTATGTAAACTAAATTTTTTGGAGACAACTTATTTCTGCGATCATTCGTCAACAAACCAGCTTTGGAAAATACACGCTCTGACGGAACTGAAGTAGCAGGTATTCATACATATTTTAACTGCAACTTGTACAATTCAGGAAATGTGTGCTTATGTTGTTTCCAAAAATCTAGGCAATTTTTTCCTTGCTGCAAATGCGATATTTCGATATATTGACGAACAATTAATGTTGCATTTACTTCTGGGTTAATAACACTTCTGACTTCAGATATCTTAGTGTCGAAATATTCCCATAAAGAATTAGAAGACTCAGTTGCTGGTGCAGATGTTTCTGTTATATTATTATAATCTTCATTCTTAAGACAAATAATTGAAGTAAGCTCTTCAATTATCCATTTTTGAGTGTTTTCGGCATTATCAGCTAATCCAAATCCGGTTTTTTTAAATCTCGGATCTAAAAAAGTTGATTTAGCTACTATTTTATTTTTCTCTAAGATTCCTAAACGTCTCGCGACTATATCTAATAATGAATTTTGTAATAATATTCCAGCATCAGTCTCAGGTTTTATATTTTTTACCATAAACTGAAGACCTCTTATTAAAGGTATTACTAATGATAATGTCGGTTACTTTTCTCCGGACAATTCTGATGTCATACTTTCAAAAGGTTTCAATATTTTAACACAATCTGCTATTATATCCCACTCTATTGCTGTTAAACCATTTGGATCTCGACGAAGCGATGATATTGCAGCAGATAATGGATCTTTAATTTTAATGAGCATCTCAATCATAATTAAATTTGAATTCCACCGGGTATTAACATCTTGTTTAACTTTTAATTCAGGGAGGCCCATCTGTTTTTGAAATTCTTGTAGTTTATCTGTCGCAAAACTACTATGTTTGAAATGCTCTACATTAGCCTGACATGTTTTTATTACTTGAAGAAATTCTGTATTTTTATTAATAGCTTCATTAACACTTAAATAAAGGGTATGGGCTACACATGGGTGATGATATTTTTTTAGATGCTCATTAATTGCATTTTTTATATTTGATTCACTGTCCGAAACTACATTTACTATTTTATTACTTATATCCCATTGATTAAAAATAATCGAAAGAACCGCTGCAATATTTTCACCTGTATGACTACCATGTACTTCTTTGGTAGAAATAACTGGCGAGTATAAATAATCATCGTATATAAAATGACAAGTAACCGTCAAATAAGACTTTGTGGAATCTGATGTCCACATATCTGTAGTTACAGAAACATCATTTTCGTTTTTTAACATATATTTTAGTTTAGAAAGAATTATATCGTATTGACCTGGCAGCAGTTTTGTAGTTAATAATTTTCTACTTGGAGGAGTATAAAGTGGTTGCAATTTTTTGGTGTACTCTAAAAATCCAACGTTTTCAACTATGGATAAAGGCTGATAGTCAGCTGTAATCATTTTAACTAAGGATTTATCAATATCATTCTTTTAAACAATAGTTAATTAATTATTTTTAGTTGAACCAAATAATTTTAGCTGACGCGATCGTTTAGCTGGGATGCAAGATTGGGCTGAAGTTAAAGAATGATTTTGTACATTTGAACTAGTAGAAGGCAATTGAACATTTGATAAATTGTCAAGGCTGTCAATATTTTGTAAATCAGTATCGGGATCATTTGATGCAGACGGAATAGCAATAAGTGTAGGATGTTTTCTTTTTAAATGCTCTTTAAAAAAAAAAAATAGAAAAAATAACATTATTATGTCAAAAAATAATATATCTTAATCAATGTATTAATATTAAATAGAATTATTTTTAGGATATTTTATAATAAAATACCTACAAAAAATAAAAAAGTAAATTTACCTGATTAAATGTATTTAGATTAAATATAATATTGTAGTTGTACCTTTTAAATTGGTTGTATTCCCATAAAACTTGAAATCTGTCCTACAATTTAGACAAGTTACTGTAGATTTGTCAGCATTTTTTTTAAAATGTTCCCAAACTCTGGAACGTTGTTTATTTCCTGGGCGCATTTTTAAAAATATGTATTTACACAAAATTAGTGACTGCGTTAAGATTAATAATAAGCTAAGAAACTATAGAGTAAACTAATTATTTTTCATCGACTGTGTGCGATCAGCAGATTCCGCCACAGTTCATCGCGCGAAATATTATCGTCGACGTTTTATCGCATGCTTGTTAATCGTGCAGTATTTTATTGCGACTATTTCGTCGTGGTTATTTTATCGTGTTCCTTACGTCGCTCGTTTAACTTCATCGTGCATCACTTTATCACGTTAATCGTCGTCATTGTATGCACTATGTTGTATAGGTGTCCAATCTAGGTAACATTTTTAAGTCTAAGAGAAGTTTTCAGAATCATATACGATATCTAATTCCATATAATATAATATAATATAATTATCTAAAATAACTGATTTTTAAATTTTCTTAACATTTCGGGGGGGGGGGGCTGCAGCCCCCTCCCTGGCTACGCCACTGTAACATTATACCAGGGGTACGACACTCCGTGAATTGGTCGGAACGGGCGATTGTGGCCTTGAAAATGGTATCTAGAGGTAAAGTAAACGAAATCTGAATAATGAATACTGAATGGTAAACAAGCCGACACCGCGCAGAGTACCCAGCCAACGTGGAAATAAACGTTTACATAATACCACTTTAGGTCTAACATCATATTGGTAAACGTTTTCGTGTTTTCGGAGGTTCAGACTTCAGATCATAGGTAAACAAGACACCAACCAGCTGATCGAGTGTCGCTTCTATATTGTTCTATGATTATACGTTATTGTGAGTAACTTTATTTCACCTTTTACTTTTCACTTTCTTCAACAATAATACTCGAATAACTAGTATTTTATTAGTAACTAGTAACTACTAACTACTAGCTACTAATAAATAGTAATTACTAATTAGTAATTACTGTTATCATTCGATTATTTTTCCTAATAATCAAGTTACTCGATAGATACCACGAATTAAGATAGTATCACAGAGCAAACAGAAAGGAATCTTAAGGCTCATCGAAAAACCGTCCGACATTTCTGAATTTTAAACGTGCTGCCACATACCGAGAAATTCCTTTTTTTTTAAGTTTTCTGTGGTTTTTAGCTACACTGTTAGTCGGCAATTCCACTCATAACAACAACAACACATGGCCAACCATAGATAACATAGATTATAAATCGGTTTGATTCACGATTATAGATAGTACTATCTATAATCGTGGTTTGATTATTTGAATATAATAATATATTAAAAATTTGAACGAACAGTGTTGCACGATATAAAGAAAAATAGTGAAATTCTCGGTACGTGGCATCATGTTTAAAATCTAGAAATGTCGGACGTAGTTTTATCATCTCCCATAAGAGCCCATGTTAAATGAAATAAGATTCCGTTCTGTGTGTTCTGTGATAGTATGGATTCCCAAAGAGCTATGATAAAATTGTCGTTTATTGAAAGTAGTTTTGACTCCTGGACAGCTGGCATGTGTTAAGAAACTGGAAACACGAGACTAGCACTCCAAGCGGATGATTTGTCTTACTATTTCAAATATAAAACTAATATTAAATATATTGCCTATGGCTGCTCTTTAGGGCTTAGGCTTCTTTTACTTATTAGACCCTTAACATAACTTTATGATACTATATAATAAATAATATTATACATATATGAATATATGATCAAGAACCAAGATACATTATAAAGGAACGTGTAATAATATTAAAAATAAATATTATTTAGTACATTAAAGTTGTTTGTTTTATAATTTTTTTCAACATGTCTTGTTGTGTACCAAATTGTCCATAAAAAAAAACGAAAAGTACCTTTAGGGTACTAAAAGATCAATACCGTTTTCAAGTTTGGGAAGAAAATTTAGGTATACTATTAAAACTGAGTCCAGAGTTTGTGAAATGCACTTTAAATCTCAAGATATTTTAAATAAATGGGTATCTGGCCAGGGTCTAAGTAAATATACGGTAAGAATGAGTGATCTATGGTTATGAAATTTTAATTTATCGCATAAGCATAATATAAACTTTTCAATGCTGCGTATATATTAAAATATGTGAATTTGGTTTACCATAATTGTTTTCACAAATATGTTTAAAAAAACCTTAATTAAAGGATGGTGCTGTACCAATACGAGTACAATTAGATAACATCAGTCAAATAAGTATAAATGAATAAAATTCTAATATGGGCAGGCACAGTTATATGGACATACGGAAGTTGAATAAAAGTATGTGGAAATTTAACATATGGCGTGCAGTTGCAGATTATTTAAATAATGCTGTATAATGTTAATCATATCAGATAAGAATACATATTTTAGGTTTGTTTTGATTGACGTCAGAGGTGATAGGTATAATTTTAAATATAGTTGTCGGTACTGAACAAAACATCGAAGCTAAAGTTACTCGTGATAAAACAACTGAGCAAGAAAACGATCAAGAGTTTGGCGAAAGCAAGAATACAATAAAATCTTTCGTTTTTTAACGATATTATAACGACATATAAATAATGATAATGGTGTGAATGCTTTTGATTTAAGATCTGACGCAATACCACTGAAGTAAATATTTTATATTTTTGCTTAATATTTTATAGAGAAATAAACTGTTAGTAATTTAATTTTAATTTTCAAGTTCTTCTAGTTTTGATGATAGGTTATGTTGAAAATATTACAAATGAATTTGATGATATTGATACAGAACATGGAATAGATGAAATAGTTTTAAGTAATTTTTTGATTTGATATACTATAACCAATAATATGAATAGGTATGTTTTGGTACATTTCATGATTTAAGGATACTTAATAAAAAAATTGAACTTCTATTTTTATCACAGACTAACTAAGATTTAAGGCATACCGGATACATCTAGGTTCTAAGGTCAATGTTTTCGAACCGACAGAAGTATTAAATAAATAGTTTCGTAGATTACTAAGTAAGTACCTACTGGCTACTGGGTACTTAGTAAGTGACTAACAGTGAGTACTGAAAATTATAATTATTAAATACTAAATAGGTAGGTACAATTAATATTTAAATATTATACAAAATTTAAAATACGATGTTACGATGATAAGCCGATAAGGTGATAACTCAGAAATGTATGGTATAATATATACGACCAATATGGGACGGAGAACGTAATACGCGGTAAAAAGTGGGGGTACCTCCCGTCGATATGCGTATCACAAAGTTGCTGACATACCTATATATTTTGTTATGGTCGTAACCAAGGTGGATATATACGGTGGACCTGCTAACACCTTCCCACCTTGTTAGAGGGGTACGTTGTGTCTATTTTTGAGTTCACACTAATTGTTTAGACGAAGTTTTTAGTGCACTAATCAACAATCGTATTTTGAATCGTATATTTTTTTGATCTAATATTTTATACACTAAAAGGATTTGGTCTAATCATTCATTTTTAAACCAATCTTTTTTAGACGTATTTCAAAATGTTAAGTTTGCGACACTGTAAAATATAAATTATCATCGATTTTATCACTAAATTTTTCAGTGATAAATATTGATACCAAGATAAATTAAAAAAAAATGAATATATATTAAATTTGTTTATTAAATTAAAAAATATTTTGATTACAATTTAATTTTAAAAGTACAATTTATTATAATTATTAAGTTTATCTTGTTCCTGGGATGGAGAAAAAACAAAAATCAAAAAGTGTTACGTATGAACAAAAGCAATTGTTAATTGATTTTGTTCACAAACATCCCAAATTGTGTACCAAAAAGTTTGGACCAACTTTCACCTTGAAAAGTGCAGTCATTATGGGAAAGTATTACAAAAATCTTAAATTCAACCATTGGTCCCAAAAAAACCTGGGGTGAATGGAGAAAGGTAATTAAAGATATTGTAATATTATACAATTATATTATGGTTATAATCCAAGTTCCTAGTTTTTATCCTATAAAATAGAATAATAATATACTTGTAGGTACCTAAACTAACATTATTTATAGTAGGTACTTATTTAATTAATAATTTTACTATTCAGTGTTTTCAGTATTTGAAGTCGTCTGCTAAGCAAAAGGTACCCTCAAAATCTGATTATAATAAAACTGTTGGGGGGGGGGGGGGGGGGGGAGGAGCAAGATGACCAAGTTGTTGACCAGGCAGATGAACAGTTACTAGACTTGATAGGAGACACTGCAATTCATGGTCACGAAAATATTGAAGAAAGTATTTGTTCAGTTTCATATCTTCAATGTACTGATCCTGTTGATGCTGAACTTGTTGAAAATGTATCAATTATAGATGCCCAAAATATTAATTTAATTGGGTTTAATGATAGTTTTGATGATGTTCAGAGTATTCAACTTTCAACATTAGTCAATGAACAGCAAGGGTATGAGGAATTGGAGACTCCTACTTCTGAAAATATAAAGTAGGTATCTAAATTAGATTATTGAAGTTTTTTTTTTTAACAATTTATACATTTTTTTTCAGTGTAACAGGTCGGGATCCATTTTCTATATTTTTTAAAAATACGAAAAAAAATAATTCAAAAACTTCTGCTGTACACAATAATTGTGATGAGTAAGTTATAACTTATAACTAAATAACTTATAACGTACATATAATTAAATATTTAATTATTAAAATTACACAAGTAAGTTTGATAGATTGTATGTATTAATATATATCATTATTGGGGTACCTACTATTGGAAAATGACATGTCAATTTAAAATCTAATTGGTAATTTTGGTTAGGATCATTAAGTCCAATAAATAGGTAATTGTTAAGTTCATAGTAATAATTACGAATTGTTTGTAATTTAGATAGTTACTAATTAAGTATTTAATAAACAATAATCAAATGTTATTTCATGATTAAGTTATTTTTAGTAAAAATATTATTTACAGCACTTTTTAAGGGTCGCGACACACTACAGCGGTTTTGACGCGCGTTTTTCCATCGCGCGGTTTCAACGCGCGATATGCACGTACTACACTAGCGCGGTTTGCGCGCGTTCACTACGCGCTCAGACTTGCTTGGTTGATGATTCCGTCTTGCGCTGTCTTGCACCACTGTCTTGTAGTTATTTGAATATTATTTGTATATTTTTAATTGATTTTTTTAGTGAATATATTTACATATATGATATATATAAATAATTTGTATTAATTCGTGGAACTAAATAGCAAGTATAAGCAAGTTGAAAGTAAGTAGTAACGACTAACAAATATTCATATTTATTATAAGTTATTTATTTATTTATCCATTTTAAAAAATATGGATTTCATTTGTACATATTAAATTTAATTAAAATTATTTTAAAATTGTTTATTCAGTATGGATTACGATTATTATACGAATGCATTGAAAGTGATCGCAGTGGCAGAATCATTTGGATATCTGAACCCACCAAGATCAGAGAGATCATTTTGGATTCATCCTTTTATTGCAGTACGAGAAACTAATAATCGGTTTTTTTCTTTTTACGAGGAAATTCGAAAGTATCCGAGCAAATTTTCCGAGTATTATCGAATGTCCATTTCTTCATTTGACGAACTTTTGGAAAAACTACGTCCCCACATAACCAAAAAAATCACAAAGTTCCGACGTCCGGTGTGTCCAGAAGAAAGATTGACTATTACAATCAGGTAATTAAATAATAATTAACTACCTAGTAAATATTATATTTGTAAAGAATAAGTATAGTTAAATAAATTAAACCTCTTTAATACATAGGACAGTATTCAGCATTTCAGTAGGTATAATAATAATAATTGAGTATATCAATAAACATAAAATAAAACGTAGGTAATTAACTTCAACAACTTTTTATAGTATAAATTAAAAAAAAACAATAAAAATAACTTCTGTAACTTTACATACCTATACTTGAAGCAATACAATATTATACAACATACTGTTTTGTTTGTAAAAAAAAAAAAAAAATAATAGTAATAATAATTTATAAAATATAATATAAAATGTAAATATTAAACGTAATATGTAAACGTAACTTCAAAAACTTAAAAAAAAAATAATAAAATTACTTCTTTAACTTTCAATACTTGAATTAATACAATATGCAACATAATATAATATTATTATGTATTGTTCTATTCAAAATAAAAAATAATAATAATAGTAGGTGTATAAAATGTTACTATAATATTAAACACTATGGTTCATTCTTATTTCTTCCTGACTGTAGTCTGGAGGTGAGGTTTCTGAATCATAGTTTTGTGGAACCGAGTACCTTGAAGAGGGGCGCACAGGTAGATACTGTTGTGAATAGATTGGATAGGGAGATGGATATGTGAGAGAAGTTTGCTGGCCAATATTGTTTGAATGATTATTGAATTGGTGAATGTTTGCGTTGAAATTCTGCGAGTGGTCAATAGGAGGGTTTAAAATATTTTTAACGGACTGCATGAATGCTATTTTAAAATCGAGTTTTTGGTTGTCATTCATTTTTTTGAACTCTGGAAGGAACGATAACAAGAAAGCTTTATCAGGATCTATATCTTCCGAGCGTGATTGTATGGGTGGGTGTTGCATAAGGTGCAGCAAATTTTGTTGGAATGGGGTAATCTTTTGTTTTTTATTCTGAGGCCCTGGTGTATTCGTGTTGTTGTTTGATGGTGAAGGAAAAACATAGTCTTCTTCAGAAATGTCACCAGCGTCAACAGTAGTTTCTATTTCTGGATCATGGATGATGGATGATGATGACATATTACCTGTTGTCCTGCAATTTTAATAATAATGTAAATTTTAAGAAATTATTTTGTTCCCGAAATGTATTTTACTTACTTTCTTTTTTTTTAAACTGGCAGTAAAAATGATAGTACATCAGCATAAGCATATTTTTTGGTAGGATTTGCTCCACTACCACTTGGTGTACTATTTTTTTGTTTAATGTCTCGAGCAAAATTGTCTCTGATATTCTTCCATTTTTTTTTAATTTCTTCGACTAAAAAGATAAATAATTATTTTAAGATAAGGTTAACTTATAAGAGTTGGTAAATTATAAAATAAGTAAATTGAATTCTGCAGTCTTGTAACTATTCAAAAAGTATTAAAGTAGGTATTTGATAAGAACCTATTTAAGTATTTATTTATTTATTAAAGTATTTTTTAAAAGTATTAAAATACTTTTGTCTTTCCAGTGACGTCAAACTAAATTTGTTTAGGTGTGGCAATGAACAATAACTGATTCCAACCTATAGTTATAGATATATTATCTCCATAGGATATTAGAATTAAGTCGTTAGGCAACCCCCACCCCACAAATTTTTAATCTAAAAAATATTTACACGAGTTATAATATCTACTGCAGAGGTTCCCAAACTGTGGGTCGCGACCCAAAAGTGGGTCGCAATTATACTTTTGGTGGGTCGCACTATTTTTTTAAATAATACAAAAATATAATCATCTATTACTTTTCGTTGATGTTCAAAGTTCAAATTCAGTTTTATCGTCAATCCTTATCTGTGAGTATGACAATTACGAGTTTACCAGCGGCCGTGTCAAATACTATATATTATACTTATTATACATTTTTTTCGTAATTACATAAAATGTAATAAAATAGTTTAATTTTCTGTTGTATGGTAAAAAAAAAAGGTCATTCATTCATATTGTGGGTCGCTATATTAAAAAAAAAATTCAAAATGGGTCGCACAATAAGAAGTTTGGGAACCTCTGATCTACTGCATTATGTTTACATTTTAACCTTATCTAATAACTCTAAACATAATATTTGATTTTGAGAAAAAAACATAAAATTATATGATATTCCCTATATAATATAATATAATTTAGTATAATATAATTTATATTATATTATATTGAAAATTATAAATTATTTCAGATATCTGTCAGTTGGAACAAATTTTGTGGCGTTACAGTATGAATTTTTGTTGGGACGAAGTACAATAGGAAATGTTGTTAGAGAAACTTGTCAGGTTCTATGGAACACCCTACAGCCTGAAGAAATGCCAGAGCCTAATCCAGACCAATGGATAGAAATAGCCAATAAATTTTATTTGAAAACCAACTTTCCAAATTGTGTAGGGGCAGTCGATGGCAAACATATTCGTTGTATGAAACCCATTAATTCCGGATCAATGTTCTACAATTATAAAAAGTATTTTTCCATTGTATTAATGGCTGTAGTGGACGCAGAGTATAGCTTTATTTCAATCGATGTCGGTGCATACGGTAAGGAGGGTGATTCTACAATTTTCAAAAATTGTCCATTCGGAAAAAAACTATATTCTGAACAATTAAATCTACCAGCACCTGTTGTTCTTCCAAATACAGACAATTTTCCGCAGCCTTTCGTGGTAATAGGCGATGAAGCTTTCGGACTACACAAAAATCTTTTAAGACCATACCCTGGACGAGGTCTCACACAAAAAAGAAAAATTTTCAACTATCGTCTATCAAGAGCTCGAAGGTACGTAGAATGCGCTTTTGGAATACTCGCAAATAAATGGCGTGTTTTTCATAGTGCTATTCTAGTTGAACCCGATTTTGCTGACGACGTTATTAAAGCATGCTGTATTTTACATAATTATGTTAGACGAAGGGATGGTTATAACTTCGAAGACACCCTCTCAAACTCTTTGGAAGACATTCAAAATGAAAATAATTCTGGAGCTCGTCAACAAGGATTAGATGTTCGAGAATATTTTGCTGAATATTTTATGGAAGCAGGAGCAGTTCCGTTTCAATATCGATTTGTTTGATTTTTTTTACTTCTAATTTTTTTTTTTTTTAATATAATATCAAAATTATAATATTATATATTTAAATATTAATATAATATAAAATAAATTCAGGCGATCATATTTTACAAAAATAAGTTATTTTTAAACTATTTTTAATACACGTTCGACACCGGTATCAACACGTTGTCGTCATGCAACAACCGGCTCGTACTTCGCCTTCATAAATATAGATTTAGTCACAGATCGTACAAATTTAAAATATTTATGTTAGCCATTCAAAAATGACATACCTATACTTATGTTTTGTTTTATTTAATTATTTTAAAAGTAGGTACTATTATTATTTTCTTTATATAATATATAATATTATTAGAAATTGCATAGAAACATTAAAATTAATTATGCTTACCGTAAGATTCTTGCTCCATGTTTGAAAATGTATCCCAATTTTTGAATACAGCACTGGCTACATTTATTCAGGCCTTTGTTTTGCAATGTTTGTCCATATAATTACTATTATTGATATTCCATAGACATTCTTCCTTCTCCACTTCGTTTATCAAAATATCTATGTCAATCATATTGATATATTTAAATTAATTAACTTGACACAAAATCAATAGGTAATAACAAATAATAAATCGATTATCAATCAATAACTAAAAAAACTGGTAAGAACGGTAAAAAAACGGATTTGAAACGCGTCGTAACCGCTGAGGTATGTCGCATGCCATATAAAACAATGTGTTACGGTTCCAAGCGTCAATGCGTCCAAAACGCAAAACCGCGACACGCAGCGGTGTCACGCGGCAACGCGCGTCAAAACCGCGCTAGTCTGACGCACTCCATTTACATGTTTGCATTTCCATCTCACGTTTTCGACGCGCGGTGCTCCCGCGTTTTCACCGCGCGTCAAAACCGCTGTAGTGTGTCGCGACCCTAAAACTAACATATCGTGGAATCAATTAAAAACATTTGAGTCTTTGTACATTGAAATAAGTTTATATTTCCAAAAAGTAATAGATATTAAATACAATTGGCTACTTACCTACCAACTATCCTTCATCAACTTATTTTCAGTATCTTTTTAAAAATAATAATATAATATATTTATAATATAAATATAATTCAAATAAATTCATCTTGACGTCTAGCCCATCGAAATTCAACAAAACATGTGTACTGATGTACTCGTACCGAATAATTACTATTTAATAATTATTTTAGTACATTAAAAATATCAAATCATATGTGTGTATGTTACGGGGAAACCCGTGTATCCGCAAGTGGCGGGAGCATAATGATAAGATAACTGTTAAGTGCCGGAAGTTTAATTATTATTAAAAACTATTATATAATATAGAAGTACCATTTACTATTAATTAGAAGTCTGTGAAATTTTATTTTTAGGATCTGGTTTATCCATAAATCATAAGTCATAAATCATATTAAAATTATTTTAATATAACTAATATCTAATAATATACAATTATATTGAATATTATACATATTGTGGTTCATAATAATTAGAATAACCACAACTTTCTATACATTATTTTTACAGCAAAAACAAAGAACATGGTCAGCAGAAATGTATTAATTTATAGTACATATTATATTATCACCATCTGAAACAAAATATTATGGGAGTATCGTTTTATTAATTATTGCATGTGTTTTGTTTTGTTTTGGTTAACCTGAATTTTTTTACAAATGCTCTTTCAGTCAAACCTACAATAAAAAATATAATATTATTTATTCGTATCTTATCTATTAATGTAGGTAATTAATTTTAATTGATTGACTGAGTGGCGCGTTTGGAGGCAGACTGCAGCCGGTCGTTCTCGCTAGACGGGACATCAGAGGGGCCGCACAACAAATCCTGAACGTCTCCCGGAGTTATATTTCGGTTACCAACAAACATCTTCACTGGCAACCGAAGCGGATCGCAGTAATCATAATCAAATATCGTGTGTTCCGCAGTGTCCTCCGGGTGTTGGCAGTACAGGCAGGCCGCATCAGGGGCGCGCTTCATCCTGTGTAGGTAGTACCTGAAACACCCGTGTCCCGTAAGAGCCTGCGTTACATGAAACGTGAGGTCTTTGGGACACCTTTTCGTCCATCTTATCAGGTCCGGAAGAATCGTGCGCGTCCAAGCTCCTCTAACGCCCCGGCTCCATTTGTTCGACCAGGCAGCAAGCAGGATGTCTCACTCTGCTCTCCGGATCTCATCCTTTGAATCAGCTCTGTCCTGGTTGTCAAGTTTACTTCGGACTTTTTTGCGTTCCAAAGCAAGAAGATCACCTGGAAGAGTTCTCGCCAGGAATAAGGCTGCCTCAGCCGAGACTGTGCGGTACGCCCTCGTGACTCTGAGAGCCGCAATCCTCTGTGCCCGAATCATAAGGTTTCGACAGATAGCGTACTCGCATGCTCTTTCCGCCCACGTTGGACAGGCGTACAGCAGCCTGCTGTTCACCAGACATTAGCAGCGTTCTCTTAGACTGTGAGGGTCCTCCAAGGTTGGGCATGAGCCGTCCTATAGCCAGCGCTGCCTGGGACGTCTTCCCCGAAACAGTAGTGAAGTGTCCACTGAATGTAAGGTGTGAGTCCAGATGGAGTCCCAGGTATCGCAACTTCCTTAGCAAAGGAACTGTGTGATCCCCTACAACGAACACCGGATCCAGATACGCCCACTTCTTAGTCAGCATGATGGCCTCTGTCTTGTGCCGTGCTAGTTGAAGTTCGTGGGCGCCCATCCAGCCATCAATAGTGTCTAATGTGGGGTTGACCACTTCCTCCAGGGTGTCTGAGGTCTCTCCGACTGGTAATTGTATCAACTTATATGATTACGTTATCCTTGGTCGATGGAAAGCACGATGGATTAGATACTAGCTTGTCCGGTCCTTCATGAAGAAGTAGAAGCTGGCCCTTTTCTACCTAACAGGAAATACTGACTCGCTTAAACTTTTATTGTACATTTTAACAAATATATCGGAGGACCTATTGGCGATCAGCGAAAGCGTCTCGTTAGGAATCCCATCCAGCCCGGTCGCTTTGCAATTTATATAATACTTATAGGTAGGTAACTATCTATTTTTAATTTTTCAAGATAAACTTATCTTATGTTTGAAATTTTATTGATGAAAGAATATATTTTTATTTTTTGTTTACTTATTAGGTTTGATGTGATATGAGTATATGACCAAAGTTTGTTATAATAATTTTAAGAATACCTAAACTAAGAAAATATATTAAAATAAAACCTTTACATTTTGGTATTTTTATGTGTGTTAATTTTATAGTATAAAGACTCATTCAAAAACACCTCTACAATGGGGCACATATGAATAAAAAGTTACTCGTGGGTAACATTTCATAATAAACTATTATTTAATGATATGGATTTTAAATTATTACAGTGTGATGTTTAAATATCATGAAAACTTAACAGGGCCATACTACTTCAAATTAAATGAAAAAAAAAGTTAAAAATCAAAATGTAATTTTCATTCAAATCTACCCCAGTCTCCCCTAAATGTTATGAAAATAATTATATTTTAAATACATTTTTATTTTTATTAGTGGTAAATTATAACATATCTATATACATTAAAATGGAGCCAAAAATATATAACAATTCATCAATTGAGAACGGCTGGGCTAATTTGGCTCAAATTGTTTTTTAATTGTTTGTAATTGCTAGGAGGTTTTAATAAAAAAAATTTGGAAATCCCCTTTTTAAAAATTTTTTTTATTGATTTATTTTTTGAGTTCCGGAATATTTATTCGAATTGAAAAAGCTACAGCAAGCTTTAGCTTATAAAATTTTCCATGTGACATAATTAATCGTTAATATGGGGCCCCGGCTAACACCAAAAAATGGATCAACATGGAGAAATATGCCATGTATTGTGTATGAATTTTATGTATTATTATTATGTTTCACCATAAAAAGTAAAGTGATAGTTTTCGTGTCGTTTTTATTCCGTTCGATTTTATTTATAGCCGTAAATATCTTCTCTTTACATAGAACGCAATAGTCGATAGTAGAGATAAAAATAGGTTTTAATTATATGAAATATGATTATTTGATTATTACAACTTCATTTTCAATTTTCCGTTGTTGGCGTTACCAGAGAAACTGCGTGAGTACAATTTTATTTTATTTTACTAATCTATCAAGACACACTCCTGTATGGTTTAGATCCACAATTGAACCCGATAGGTCCGACCCAGGGAGTTTCTCAAACAGAGATTTTAAGATTTACGGAGAAAATATTTGTTTATATACCTACGGTTGTTATTGACTATAGGAGAAATATAAATATATTTAGTAGAAATGGTTAGTTTTTTTTGTTTATTGGTTGCCTGCAGTGGTTCATCGAGCAGATCAGGTATAAGCATGCAAACGATTGAATTTTCGCACATTGCCTACCAAGGTGGCTGAGTTGCACTTATAGCCGCTCTTCGGCGTGTCCGCAATCAAAATAAATATAAAACATATTTCAATAATACACAGCAGGTAGGCATAATATACAGCTCGCATTATCACCATCGAGTCTTATATAGAGTTGGTATTTTTAACGACCAACAAAGTGCACGAGATCGGCAAGTTTTTTTATATTTTTATTACATTTGAAGTTGCACTATTGCATTATAAATAAAGATTGAACCATTAAATAAAAAAAAAAAGAGCATCCGTACTTCTATCAAATACTTGTTCAATTACGGATAACCTAGAGGAATATTTGTTTTTTTGTAGTTCATACGAAATACTGGACACATGTAGAAAAAATGATTTATGATTGTGAATTTTGGAAAACTAAAATGGTTAATAAACTTAAAACGTAAGAATTATATATTAAGATGGTTTCAAATGTAAATGTTCTATCGATTGATAAATCGATGTGTGTTTTTTAGGTTTTATTTGGAATGTATTTTGACCCATTGTTCGGAAGGAGGTTACAAATAGCGGGCGTCGCCAGAGTGCGTCCCGAAATGACCCTTTTTTAATGTTC